CTAAAGCGATAGAACGCACCGTTTCTGCATTTTCGGCGAACGGCGTTTCTTCCGCGACAACAGTCGAAATAACATATCAAAGTAAATTTTACAGAACGCATGTACAACACGTTCCGGTGACCTTTCAGCAACGGCTTGGCCCGCCAGAACGCCGTGAAATTGCTTTGACAGTTGATGGGCCAGTGTCTAATGTGACTACGCGGCCAGTAATCAACAGTTTTTAACACGTTTCATTAAGATATTTATGTTACTTTAAATGTAATTAACAATCAATACAAAACTTTTCACAATTATATTATGATGGGTACACGGCCGGGAGATTGTGTTTACAGACATTGGATATCGATCGTATGAGCTCATATTTATGTAGTTTTTTGGCGAAAACCGGAGTTTCGGACTGGAAAGGCAAACGCAATAGCGGATCCTAAATTCACCCGATGGCGGGGGGGGAGTGTGTTAAATATTTGTATTATTTCTATAAGTTCATCAAATGAATGATATACAATGGTATCCGACAATACGAATGAACGGGTCGTGTTATACAATATTAACACGACATAAGTACGTAAATATAAAATAATTGGTTTTATGAAATACGGATGAGATAATGCGTGTTCTGCTGTTTCCTAACATATTCTGTGACTATTAATAATTTATTGTTAGCGGTCGAACGATTTCCGGCGATACGCAATCGGATAGTCAGAGTAATATTCTCGGAGCATGCTTTCTGGTAAAAAGTGTTCACATATAAAAAAAAAAATAAACATCATTTTGAAATGACTAATGATTTATTTAGAAATTACGAGACAGTGTAAAGTTTTCTGTGTGATGTAAAACGTATTTCTGTAAGCGTTTTGCGTTGGTCATGAAAATAATGACAGTTGGTGATGATTTTGAAAAATGCAATAGGGGGTAGAGGGAGGAGGCGATCCGCGCCTGGGCGAACGTAACGCGGAATCACTCGCGGGTTTTTCGTGTATTTCGTGTTTTTGCATTAGCGCATAACGTACGGTTTCCGAGAACATAATTCTTTAGATTCGACTGTGGGCGCTTTAATTATATAAAAAAAAACAGTTCATTTACGAACGGATTGTTACGTGATCGCGAAATAACGTAGGTTTCCGAAAAAAAGATGAACGGATTTCCGAATTACAGCCGGGTACCTCTTACTTTTCGTGTCCGAAAATAGCGTTTCCTAAAATAATAATGTCACGCAATCGTGGTACGACGGCTATTCTGTGTTAAATATTGTCATGGTTCGTAAAGAGTACACCAAACGGCGTTTGTGGCCTTGCCAAAAGCGAACGGGTTCGAGCGGGTTCACTCATCACGAGTTCGTTCGGTATCCTGTTATATCTTAATTCTTGATTCAAACAAAAAGAAAACAGGGGGGTCTGTTATGCTATTTTCCGTGAAAAAGTGCGCGCGTACTTCGCACACTTCCGAGAGAAGTGTACGTGGTGTACGCGACTTTAGCGCTGGCCTTTATTCCGATATTTTCTGTATGGGTTTCGTATTTGTTTCGCCGATAACATTGATATTATTAACTGATAAGTAATGACTGATGACTGAATATCTTTAGAGGTTCGTAATGTATAATGTCGAGTATGTTTTAGTGTTTTTCGAATTCGAATAAAGTTATTTGTTACGTTCAAATATATGTTTTGATATCCGAAAATTGTTCGAAATTCTTCGTCCGACGACCGATATACTGTCCGTTGACGACTAAGGACTCGATCTAACTGTCTACTGTCATCATCTCGTTTGTCATCAAACAAAAACAAAAAATTTAGTCGCGTCACATTAATATCAAATAAAAATTTAGTACAATGCGCGTTGCATAAATCACCGACAGTCAACACGTGGCCACCGTAGTTAAACAAATAATAATGTAAACAATCAATGATAATAACTCTGAAAGATAAATAAATCGAATTTGTACAAGAATGTACGCTATATAAGTAAACAACGATACCTTCCGACGTGTCGTAGTTGGCATACATTAAGAAAGTCAAGTATGCAACAGTACGCGAAGTGTGCAAAGTAAGAATTTTAATAGAATAGCACTGTGTCAAAACAATAAGCCAGGTACCCGCGTACATGGCGTAGTTTCATTAGCATAATAGACCCCCAGGACATAATAATATTATTTGGAATAATTTAAACTCACAGTTTATTATACCTATAATTGTAGCGGTGTACAATAACTGGTAATTCATTTTTAGATTAACTTCTCCGCGACGAAAATACTGCATAGTTAATTTATCCATACCGAATTGAAGAAAAACGAATGGATATTGAAATTTTAAAAAAAAAAAACCCATATAATATTGCTTTTTTCCGAATAGTATCTATTAACCGCCATCTAATGATTTTGGTTGAAACCGCACATCGGAGTCCATTTAATTCGAGGCCCATAGGACCGTATCGTATAGTTTTATATTGTGATAACGGATATGTCTGTGTACCATTTTTACCGCACAGATATAACAGCTATCACAATTATAATAGTGTGTCATAAAGCTCACGAGCCTCGAATTGAATAGTGGATTTAAAACTCACGTCTTATCGCTAGCAGTAAGCAATCTTGTTTGTTCATGTATATTTGCATGTTGTAGTGTTTAGAGTCCATGCCAAATATTTCGCGAGTTTATTTAATTAAAATATCGATTTTTCTTTTCTGAAGCTTCTCATCTGTACGCATGTTATTTCATTGCTGATGACAAACGATTCGGACTGAAATTTTGATCAAACATAATAATATCATTCATAATATGTACTAGAATGTCGCGATGTATACGATTTTCACTAAAATTTGAACTTAAAAACCTTACATAAAAAAAAAATAAAAATATATCTATAATTATTTTAAGAAGATTGCATATCCATATTGACTGTCTCGTTCGCATTTGTACCGTTTCGGTTAAACCAACATACCGAAATTATTAGGGTACTATTACAACATGATAACGTAAATTTGATGGCATTTAGGTAGAAGTCACAATTCAGTCACTAATGACTACATTCAAAAAGAAAAATGTTTCCGTCGGCGTCGGCCGCGCGTAAACAGAGCAATTTAAAAAAACAAAACCTGAGACGGCTATAACTTTTTGTGTATGACACTCGTTTAAAGAAAAGCTAGGTACCTACGTTATTCGTTAGTTGGACTGAAACAGTAAACGCAGGTAAGTATAGATATAGCCTCATTTTTACAAAACTGTTCGTAATATTATTTATTGTTATGATAAAAAAAAAAATAAAATAAAGAATACTCGAAAAAAAAAAGTCCATGCGGAATTGAGCGCGAATTTCCGTCGCATATAAACTGGAACGAACCAATTTAATAATAAAATGTTATATTCCGTAATTCTATACCATAGTAGATAAAACAACTTTTTTAATAGTGTCGCGAAGATAACCGTGACAAAAAAAAAAAAAAACGAAAAATGCACGGGCGCGCATAATAATAAATCGTGGCACGCGCGCTGATTGGCTTTTGGATATTCGTTTATTTTCATATAGGAACTGCAAAAAAGAAATGATTAATTTACACGGCTCGCGTGATTGTACCCCGCAACAGGACTCTGCACAAACGACAACGAATTTTATAATTATTTTACACGGCAGTGGTGCCGAAAATTATACATACGGGTACATATTTGTAATGTAGTGCATTTTTTTTTCCAAACAAAATTCTCTTTGTTAAGTGTGCTACGTATAAAATAAAACGAGTTTTTTTGAATTAACGTTATTAAATTCAATCCGCCACCCCGTTACTATATAATATATACGTAATTATATAATACCTTTTTGTCGAAGTCGTGTGTAAAAAAAAAAAAGCAGGCTTGACGAAATCGATATGCGTGTCACCTCGATGACGTGTCTCTCGATGCGTATTTGTCATCGCCCAAAATAGGACCGGTGGTGTTTAATTTCTATTCGGATGTAATTAAATAATAGAAAATACCGAGAAAAAACCTAACCATGGGGGGGGAGAAAATTTCGAAAATCTACACTTGAAATACGTTCAAATCCGGACTATTCGGACGAATATAGTGGTTTAAAAATAATATTGCATTTTGTGTTGCAGCGTAATATTTTGAAATTAATTAATTTTTTTTTTTAAAATAGTTTTGAACGACTTCTTTTATGTAATTAACGAAAAAAACGGAAGTTTTTCTTTAAATTATTATTATTTTTTGTTAAAAATATTATGTTGACTCAATTATTTGCTTTACATTTAATCACATATTATTTCTTAGGGTTTCGAACTTTTGTAAACTATATTTATAAACTGAGTAAATTTACAAAAAAAAAAAACCAATTTAAAACGTTGTTTGACCTAAATTATTCGACACTATTTTGGCCCCGAATGAAATTTGATAATTAATTTTTTTATTTCGTGAAATTATTTATTGACACTACCATCTTATTATTGTTTATTTCTTCAAAAAGATAATGGGCCCCAATGAACAGATTCGTGTAGGAGCCCACTAGTTCACAATTTCTACGGAAAATATTACATCCAAATTATAATTTAAATTTAACTTTTTTTTTTAGAATTTTGGACTCTTGCAACAAACATAAACATATATAATGTATGTAACAATAATTAATTTATGGAGACTTAATGTTTAATACAGTTTGATAAAATACAAATGTAAGCAACTTGTTATAATTAGCAAAAATTATAGTATTGTATTTGCAAGTTTGATCAGGTACCTCGAAACGAAAGTTTTTTTTACATAAAACCATATCGAATAGCAATATTTTAAAATCTCTAAGTATACGATTCGTCCTTAATGTAATAATAACGCTCTTTTTTATCATAAATTTTAAACGAATTATTAAAACGTAATTTTTTTCTTAAAATATTTTGCATATTTCCACGTTTTTTTCTCTTTTTCCCATATTATTAAATTGTATCGGTTTCACATACAAAATTTAACACTTCTGCACTCAACACAGATTTATTGTTTTATCGCAACTATGATTAGACAAAAGAACACCATACTGACACTATATGGGGTTCATAGATAATTTCAGAATTATTATCAATCTTCGCAGACGCATACACTTATTTACTTATACTTGTCAATTTCTTTTTGTTCGCATCGTTAAGTATAGTAGCGAATCGCACCATTACTTCGAACTTTGAACCACTCAAAACTCCAGTTATTATCGCCTGCGAATATATGTGCAATACACGTACCTAATGGAAATCCCAGGGCCTCCAACAACAACCGAACTGTCTTCGTGGGCCTAGCAGCTAAACGTCAGAAAAACAGCTGCGGAGTTTTCACGAAAAAGTGTTCCAAAGTTCTCTAACTTCGAGCGAAACCCATTAATATTTCTACTCAAAATCGCACTAAAAATGGCTCGCGGCATTTCACGTGCTTATTTATATTACCGTCACACGTGTACTTCACCGCATAGAAACCAATTTTCCAATATTTCGTTTAAAGTAGATCTAAAAAAAAACCGTTGTGTATTATTCTCATTCGAATAACCTTTTAAGTTGTTATATAAATATGCAGTTTATATTATCCTATTCCTATTTATATAATATATAGGTAATATTTTTAAAATTCGCGACAAAATTTACCACATTCGTCGATAATTTATGTTGTTAAAACGTTAATGATGAGATAATAATTTATGATCACAATCAAAATAAATAAAGAAGATAATATGGGAAGGTAGACTCTTCTATTTAGAAGAGTTGTTAAATTTATATTTTTACGTAATGGTGAATAACTGCTGATGAAATACGATGCTGAGCGAAGTTTGGTAAAACATTATGTTTTATAATGCCATGATTTGTACGGTCCAAATGCTCATAAATTTTAAATAACATGAAATCGTTAGAATGTTTTGAAAATGTGACCATTTCTAGAAAAGGCTACCATAAGACGTATTCTGTGAAAAATTGAGGTCTCTATAATTAAAATTCAACTTTACCGGCTTTCAATTACTTTTTCAAAATCATAAAGAGAATCACAAGGAAAATCAAAAAACGATCTTCTAATGCACAATTGAAAATCAGAGTAGTATTTCTGGTAGACAAATGGTTTACAGACAGAAAAAACAGATATCATTCGCTGCGCTTAGAATTCAAATTTTGTAAAAAAAAAAAGTAATTAAATCATGTAGAGATGAAAGCGCACTGCAATTTTTTATTAAATACATACTCTTATAGAGGGAACGATATATATTTGGTTATATATATCCTATAAAATAATACTTTTACGAATAAAACACAACAACTGCAGATGCTATGTTCACTGAGAAAGTCCAACGCCAGACGAACGCCGCCGTTTGTTCTTTGACAATTTTAGCCCGGAGAATATTATTAACATAAAGCCTCTTTGACGTTTTAAAACATTTTGCGCGCGTGCGTTGTGGTGTCTCAGAATTGGAAGCACAGTGGCAAACGACCTTTTGCTTTGTGTTTGGCATAAAGGTATGTAAGGCCTCGAGCTTGAACCCTACATGCAACTCGAGTAACTTTAGAAGCCTTGAGCAGTAAAGGCAGACAGAAAAAGAGAGAGAGAGAGTTACACGGACATTACGGTAATACGGGGAACATCAAATTAAGTTCTAATTATGTGTAACGCAGGATGGTTAATTAAAATCATTGTTGACCAGTTAAGTTAAAAAAAAAAAATAATGTATTTCATCGTGAAAACAATAATGGTTTATGAATACTACTTTTTTAAAACGGTTATTTGTATTGTGACGTGTCGAAATAAATCAACACTACAGACAACCGTTAAACATATATATTTATAAACAATAGTTTATTATAAATTTTAAAGTCATAACACAATACTAGAATACATTATAATAATTTCAAATCAATTCGTATTGTACATAATAAATACAACTCTGTTTTGATTTTCAGTATAGATATGTTTTAATATCATTAGTCGATAAACACGAATGCAAATTCAAATTCAAATATTAAGTATTTAAATTCTATGCGTTTGTAGGTTTTCGATACGTGCGTTTTCGATGATTGATAATAAAAAATAAAAATTATCAACTTTAGGTATTTGGCTCGTGGAATTAAATAAAAAACCGTTTTATACCGATGAAAAAAAAAAAAAAAATAATAATATAAAATACTGAAAAATATTATTGTAGAAATATAGATCGAAAAAAGAAAACACTATAAACACATTGTATAAAAGAGAACGTAATGCTTAAAAGCCTCAGCAACAGCGTCGAAAATGATCTTCTGGAATACAGAGTATAAAAAAACCAATTGAAATACGAAGAAAAATAGATCATTAAATTTTCGCATTCTTAATCAAATATTCTGCGTGTAAACCTCATATTTTGCGGGCTGAAATTCAAATACCACGGTATTCTCGTATAGAAATGTCGGCAGTACAGTAACCGATTGTTCATGGTTTTGGTACTGCACATAAAAAAAATAAACCGATTTCATTGACCTATTCATAATGGCACATTTCATATTTTTACCGTATTTTATAAAACCTATATAATATTATTTCTAGTATAGAACGATGATAACTATGTAAAGTTTCAACTCAAAGCATTCAATAGTTTTGAAAAGAAGTGTATACATACATCCAACATTCAAATTTATAATATTACAGTAAAATACATTATATGTATTATACTGTTATAAGTACAAAACTGCAGTGTGTAATTAAATATGTATCATATTTGTCTTGGACAAACTTTCATTTTTAGTACCTATGCAATAATCATTGATCGGATTTATACACACTTAAAATCTACGAAAAAACATCAAAATTATTTTAAAAACAAAATTGGTTTAAAAGGAGTTTAAAAGTCCTCATTCTAACTTATAAAATACAGTTTTTTGACGCTACAAAAATGATATACATAAATTAATATTTTTTATAATATGTACGATTTTATTTCAAAACACATATTAGCATTCAGCTGGACACATTTTTTGCCTTTAGTTTTATTAATATAGTGTGATCTACTATCGAACTTACAGTTAAGAACATTATCTCTACGTTGGTTTTTTAGATGTTTTAGTTTTTAAGTAAGATAAGTCCTTTTAAATTATTACAATATTCTACATACATAAAAAACGTAGAATGTAGGACTACAAATAATTTTCTTATCTTTTAGCTTGGTAATGCGTCAGTTCAATCCAATATTAAAATTATATTATCTGCATATAAAGTGCGGTAGAATGCACCGTTTTTAATAGACCAACGGATTTTGTATGTTTGTGTGTAACCGTAGAATATCATGACTTCAGAATCTAACGGTGTGGTATAGAAATAGTTCATCAGAGTTGTTTGCGTCGCAACCGACAGAGAGAGCATTGCCGAAGTGGTCGCCGCCAACATTGGGAATCGGATAGACGCACCCAAAGAAGAAAAAGAAGATGTGTAGTGCCGATGCAGCATATCATCGTACGGCACTAACATTATTTCCCCGTCGATATTATTATTGTGGCAACTGATTTCATAATTTGTGTATACATTTGCGAAAAATCCAAGATACTTGGAAGAGGTGGTTTGAGGCTCCACAATACTGACCGAGATTACGTGCGAACTATAGTCAGCTGTATCTAGTCGTTTCATAATAGACGAGATATTATTTTATTATTATAATATCGTAAGTAAAATTTTCGCATAGTAATATTATAAAGGTCTTCCAGCTAATTTTCTAGACACGCGAATACGCGCTGTTCCGGCTGGTTTTTGTATAATAATCGGTTTATAATGCAGGAGTACCTTTATGGCGATCTCTGCGGGCATATTTTTATTTTTTTTTTGCTCGTTTTGATATTATTCGCTCCTTTTCCACGTGCCCACCACGGGGATGCAATACAAAAGACGCAATAACGGCCACTCGGTTAGATAGGTACTTACACCGGGAAAATTACACCGGCGATCGCGTGGGGCACTACTCGTTTAATATTATTATACGCGCATACCTACACCGGGACCCGTACCCGCGAGAAAACACACTGCGCGAAAATGACATTCGGCAGTCGCGTTATATTATACAAACTACGCAAGCACATTATTATTTTACGCAAGCCGTTATTGCCGTTTCCACTACAATATATAATATAATATCGAGTTTTCATACGGCACCTCGAGTTCGTAACAATATATATTTATATATATATAAATAAAAATACCGGCTAATGTCGCAAATGTCCAATGTATGTTATAGCATTGTGCGTGGGTAAGCGCACAGAATCGATACAGCCCATTGAGCCGAATGGCGGGGGTAGGGGAGGTGGGTTGTTTCTAAATGTTTTCCGTGTTTTGCGAACGGGAAAAAAAAACCGTCGAAATAATTACGCTGCGTATGGGTACAAGGTACGTAATGATTGTACCTGTTGCTGCAGTGATGGCAGACGAGCAGTGGCGACCCACGGGCCCACCTAAAATGTCGAAAGAAAGAAATTTATCGAAGTAAAATTGAACGGACGTATTAACTTTATCGTAATGCAGTTGGTCAACGGTAACGTAAGAGGTCTACAATCATTTTCTCAATCTACATTTTGCTCATCGGTGCCCTAAGCGATCTACCGATAGTAAAACAAAAAACATTACACTTATAATGAATTATGCAATTATAGAAATATATTTTATTAAATATTTATGAAAAAACGCTTAAACACTGAAACACTATTAAAAAATAGACTCGTTCAATTTTTAAATTAAAAAGGAAATTAATATAATCGAGCATACCGTGATATTATATAACATATTAAATAATTTAAATTGAATAATAATAGTATTACAATATGTCATACTTCGACAATCGTACGTATCAATATTCTACGTATAACTTTCGGTTTAGTTAAAATTTCATTTTGCCGTATAATCGATGAATTGTGTTGTTTAAACATGTTGTAATGTTTATCGATTACAATATTCAATCTCGCAATAATTAATAAAATATAATATTATAATCGTGCTTATAATGTGTAGAATCATATTTTAGTTAGCAAAACAAATTGTAGATCGAGAAAATGGTGGTAAATCGCTTATGGTACTGTTACCCATGTTTGAAAATATTATCGGGTAAAATAAATCGTATTAAAATTTGCGGCCATTACTACCAAGTCCTGATCTATGCACGTGCATGCGTTGCACGAGCTCCCGGCTCGCCAAATTCTAAAGGTCGTCCTTTCACTTATAAAAAAAAAAAAATTAGTTAACTATAGTGATTTGTTAAAAATGTACTATTGAATATTTAACAAGCAAAAATTATTTGTTGA